ATCGGTCTGCAAATTAATGAAACCTATACCTAATAGCCCTGAGGATTTGGAAAAATAAGAACGCTCTAATGAAAAAGCTCAAACTATAACGGTCCACACTCATACTGTGTCCAATTATGAGACAGCGTGTACATTTCATTATACCATACCCGGTCCGGAACCCGTTATCGAACGCTTCCATGGCTTCCATAAGACGATTCGAACGCGTTTCACCCTACCCGCGTGTGCCCCTTTCGAAAATTCGAATACAGAATCCGGACGTTGGAATTAATGTTGTTGCATTTTAGGGTTTAGTGGCACCAACTTTGGGCTCATCTTGCATTGAAAGGCGCGTTTTCTTTGGTGGGTATGGTATAAATAAAATACAACACGGTGTATTCCGCATCGCTCTCGGTCTCGGCCCTCCCGCGAGTCGGATAGCCCTCGGCCTGCGGCCTCGGGCGATCCGACTCGCAGTCGGGCCGATACCTCGGGCGATACGGAATACCCCGTGTTGTATTCTATATTTACTGTGTGTACAAATTGGTAAATATATCGAAGCATGTTTAGACCTTAGAACAAGTAGTATATATTAGTTGATTCATCTATTGTCTTGTACGTAGGTCAATTTTGTTGTACAAACGTATCTGTCTGTATGTCTAGTCAAAGACCTTATGAGTCGCTGTACTTTTGATGTGTCAATAAATGTTCTGCTTTAAACAATCGCTGTAAGTTTTTGGCAACACCTCGCAAGCGGAGCTGCAGTACTCACCATGGATGACTCAGACAGGGACCCGATGTTGCTGAGACGGACGCCCACAGAAACATCAATCCAGCGGTTGTTGGGATCTGTTCAGAGAAAACAATTAAAACGTGATGTGTGTGTTCTTCATTACAAAACACTATCTTTTTGGCAACTTCTAAGATGATTTCAAACTCGAGAAATGTATAATAAAATTTAGTGTTGCTTTGCAAGGTGCAGCTTGTTTATGTCAGCCTTTTTCTTAGAAGACATTTTTAACAAACTTTTTTTGTACCTTGATACTTAAAATCCGTCTATTTTCCCTGGGATTTATTTTGAAATAGTAGTGAAAAGGTTTTATTAGTGGTGTAGACATAAAACTGTGGATATAAATTATGTCTAGTAAAATTATGACACCACAAATATTTTTTTTGTGTCACAGTATACTGTGTTATGCTATTATACTAGCTTCAGTTTACACTTCTTTCTGTGGTCCACAATTACATACCAGACACAAGGACCACAAAATAACAACCATTCACAGTGGAAAACACTGCAGCTGACACCCACCTCCAGGTCTTGTGGCATTGGTGTAGTTCATGGCGTACAGTATCTCCCCACTGCGCCACCTGAGCCAGGCTCCCCAGTCCGCGGTGTCGGACGCTCCACCCACACACGAGCCACCCTGCCCACTGCCCTGACCTCCACCATTACCTCCAGTACTAGTGGTGTTGGTGGGCCCAGTTGTTGTTTCTGTTTGACTGGGAGACAAGTAATAAGCAAAAAAATTTAACACAAAATGTGGATTTTCTGTGGAAAGTCAGTACAGACTGTTACAGAACATGTTTATGGTGACCATGACTGCATTTTGTACAGGACACACCAGGGGTTTTTTGCAGTGTCTGTTATTCAGTTAGGTTTGCTGCTCATGATGGACTGAAATTCTGTTGTGTCACTAGTGTCACTACAAACCTTTGGAAAGTTGTGGGGTTTTTTGACTGTGAGATGACAGAGTAAAAAAACATTACCAGCAAAAATATATGGAAAGTGATGATGATTTTCTGTTGAAACCCAGGATAGAAAGGATACTGAAGGTTTTGTCTGTTTTGGCTGTCAACACTTTGCTTCATCAAAAGAAACTGGCATGACAGAAAAATTTTTTTCGGCTAGAAAATAAATGACAGACAGCTCACAGCATTTATGGATTGAATAAGGAACATAGAGCGACTACCATCACTGAGATATTTGAGGTTAAAAATTTGAGTTTCCATATCCTGTGCCTTTCCTAGTACATGTACTTCCAATTGATTACCTACATGTAGGGTCTCATGAATGTGCTTTCTCTGAACTCCATTCAGCCTTGCAAACCGTTGGAAAGTTGGATTCTCCACTCACCTCAGTGAAGTCTGCACCATGAGGGCAATTGCCAGGGCAAACACCCAACAGCCCAACTTTCCACCATCCATTCTCGACAAATATTCCTGCTACGAACCAGCAATTCTCTCCAAACACCGTCAGCTCCAGAAGAAAAACTGCACTGAGCACCTACAAAAATATTTCATCGACAACAAAGGCCTATTGTGCTTGTTAATGCATTACTATGGAAACCCGTAATGATGGGTGGAACCTAATTTCACTAATGGAGTTTCATGGACAACATTTTTACAATGGTGTATAAAAAAATTGCCATAAAGGAACTAGATGTAACAATAAAAAATTACACTGTCTTAGAATGTCTACTTTCATACCAATATTGAATAACCTTCTCAATGTTTGTATCATCATCATAGTTTGTAAAAAATTTTATATGCTAGTTGTGCTCACATTGTAATGTATAATAGGACTGGTGTTACAGGTGATTGTGCGTCATTATGACGAACATCATCATTTTGATCAGCCAACCGTAACTTTTCATTTCCCTAATGACATTATGATTGACAGTTGTCACAATGACTCATGCAGGCGATATCACATACACGTACACAAACATGTAGCATCACAAATAATCATTTTATTTTCAACCTTTTCAGATATTCTGACATTACTGTGTTAAAACAATGGACTTTGAATCAAAAGTTTTAAACATTGTTTTTTGAGACAAGTCAATCTACAGAAATTCATCTAACTTGCTTTCTTTGAATACTTTTCTTCTTCTTTACTTGTCATCCATACTGTCATTGTCAACTTTTAATATTTGAGCACCCAAAACGTGAAGGTGAAGAAGACAGAAATAACTTCATCTGTCATTTTTCAGCCATGTTTCAGGGTGAGTAACTCACAATGACACCGTTAATAATTAATAAGCAATGTTGCAATTCCAAGATAACAAAAGGATGGGGATACAGAATAGATGAACATCAAATTTGGTGAGACAAGTTAGCCATTTGGAAATTATCTCTAACGATTTCTAAAAACCAACAGTCAGTCCTGTCTATTATGAATATGATACAAGTGACTAGAAGAAAAAAGTCACAGTACTAGTATAGTAAGCAGGTGGCCAATAAAGATATGGCATATTATACATATGCTGGGGTTAAGGGAAAAATAATATCACTCTTTAAAATGATACTACTCAGTGTATATCTCTGGATTGAAAGAAGGTCTAGAAATATTGCTGGTTTACCAGTCATTGGCACCCCTGTTGTAGTAAAATGTCTAGTATACAGCTGGTAGCATTCCCTTGCCTTAGAGCTAACATGTCCGTACTGTCACCACCACTTGCTGGTATGTCTAGGGTCTTCCTAAACACAGGTATCCCAACCCAACAGGTGTCAGGTGTTTCACATGACACACCTGTCCCTCCCCGTGCACCTGTTGAAGTCTTTGTTCTCCCAGGTGTCACACCTGTTGCCCTCTGCACACCTGTCTCCCCCACCTGACAACACAGTGTACCTGTGACTATCACCTGACATGGGATGTCTACTATTTTCACTGGTAGAGAAACTTCTTTGACAGAACCCGGCCTTAAGTCCTGGAGCCGGGCTATCTTAGCCTGGGAACCAGCCATTTTGTGGTCACAAACCTCTACCTGTACTGACAACCTCCATTCTTCATGTAATGTCCAAGAACTTACATTGGTGCAACGGAAAGTCACTCTACCTAACCCAGTGTCATCAGGGCCTGCTTGCAGGGTTGTTGCACACTTGAAAAGCTCTTTTCCGCTGTTTTTCATCCCTGAAATGATTTCTGAGACAAGGTTCGACTGTTTGAGACGTTTGTTTTGTTCTTGGAGTACTTGAGTCAGAGTTGCCATCTTGTTGGCTGTGTTGCCCAGCCCCTCCAGTAGGTGTTTGGTGTGCAGGGTTGGTTCTGTGGGTTTGTCAGACAAAGTTGAGTGGAGCACACAGCCCTGTCGTGTCACAGCTAGCACAGGAAGGCCATCTTGTTGTCCTGAAATAGACACAAAAAAATATTCTAGGAATGCCAAAAATCAAGGCCAAATTTAATCAATTTTGCAAGAGAAAGTACAAAAAAACTAGAATTTTGTAACTCAGGTCATGAGACTTTGGTTGAAATTTTTACTCACCATCCTCTCTGTCGCTTGTAACCATGACCTTGAGCACCTGTCCAAGGTTATACTTCTGAGGCATCAACATGTCTGGGAAAACTTCTAGATCTGACACCCCCTGTTCCTGACCTTTGTTGTTCTTGAAGGTCACGACACAGAGTTCCGTCCCAGTCGAGTAAACCAGTTTACCGTTCCCGCAGTCTGAGTCAAGGACAGGACCAGGGACCTGGTACTCCTTAAAGACAGGTGCAGACGAACACTTTCCCGCTCGAACCAACACGACCTTGCCTTCAGATCCAACTAGCACTAACATGTTGTCTCCCACTGGTGTTGCAGATTGGTCTCTCACCAGCGTTAATGCATGGACAGACACTACAGACTGCTGCAGGTGGTACAGGTGACCGGTTGTTGCCGGTTTGGCGAATCCCGCCATGTCCTTCAGAGGTAACGTACACACACGCCCGTCTGGGAGGCCCAGGATGAGCATGGGACAGTCCAGCAGATTTGGGGTGACTCCAAAAATCGCTGAGAAGAGTTCTGCAGACAGGTCTAAAGTTTCTGCTGCACGACCTTGGGAATGACCTCCAGACTGCCCTGGGGGTTGAACTACGTACAGTCTAGGGGGACGCTGTTGGTGCAAAGCATTGCAACAGTTTGCAACTGGAATGTGTTTTCTCCATAACAGCTCACCTACCTCTCCTGAATAGGAGTTGACACTGATCTCCCATCCTTTGTCACCAGTGGAGCATGTCACTATATAATTTGGTATCACACAGAAGTTCTGCAAACATCCGTCTGAGACTTGCGAACCAGTGAAGGTGCTGTAGATAACTTGACAAGAAGTTGGACACGTGTTGACGCCCTTGGCAGCCCGAGAATCCAACAGGGTACTGAAGATGTCCTCATTTTGCCGTGTTGTGCTAGCCTTAGTGTCTGGATTTTCAGCTTTGTGCTTCTTACTTCTGAAAAGAGGGGGAAAAGCAAAGAAGGGCTTGAGCTGGCATGATACTAAAGCCCTACCATAGTTAGGGAATGAGAAATCTAGAGAGATAATGTCACATGTGCTATGCCCATTGTTAAGACAGGAACTGGTGGAACTTGGACAAGTTTAAGGTTGGTCTCTATGTCTGTTAGGATGTCCATCTGGACTGGTCCTAGCTACCCACCTGTCATCACACCCTCCAGGTAATACAGCTGACGTCAGCCTGCCTCCCTCCTCACAGCACAGCAGTCCGAGCTCCTGTTCCACAGCTGTGAGGTGTGCGTCTGACACAGGACCGGGGCAGTGACAGGTGACCTGACATAGGAAATACGAAAGCTGTTAATCAATGCCACAATCCATTCATTATCTATCTATCTGTTTAAATTTATTCATCTATTTAAATCTTCAGATCTAACGTCACAGTCTGCTATGCTATGATTTTAAATCAACATGTAGGTCAGCATACTATGAGCATAGCTTTGACAAGCTCCAAAATAATACCAGTATCCTTTCCTGGTAAGATTAGCTTCATAATATATTCAGGTAAAAATGATGGAAAGTAATAAAAGTGTCATGCAATTAAAAACGTCATTACCGTTTCAAGTGCCATCTGGCGGATTTTACCGAATTAGCAGAAAATATGACACAGGTAGTAGGCTGGAATCCTAGTACGTTTTCAGATCATGGCCATGGGTATAAGAAGAAAAAGAAGCTGATGTCAGAAGTACTAAAATTTACCTAAAATTTAGGAAAACGATTATTTTTGCCTCCAAATAAAAATACCTTTCGGCCGGACGTTCCATAGCAGTGCACACAGTCGCTACCGGTTGCAAGAATCTTGACTCCAGCGCCATCGTCACTCTGTCCGGCTACGTCAGGTAACGTCAGGGAGTCTTCAGGTAACGTCAGAGCGTCAGCTAACGTCTTTAACCGAACGTGATCAGTGCTGCCGATCTCTACTTGGTCCACCACACGAACATCACTCACATTGCGCGCCATGCTTTACTAGATTAGTCCATTACGTAAAAGGGGGAACTTTTGGTTCAAACTATGCTCAATTTAGTTTTCCTATTTCATTTGTTTGTATTCCATTCATTAATTACGATTAAGTACGTATATTTTCAGATAATGTTCATTAGAGAAAACATTTCTATCATGCTGTTAGGGTAGATAAATTCAACAGCCATACTATACCACCCCCAGAAATAATCCAACAGCCTAGAAACTCTTGGGAATGTCGTTTTATCTAAAATCGCCAGGTGTCACTGTTGCACTGTATATTTTAGGTAAAGCTACAGAGATCTGAGATGGCCGTACGGTGTTGATCGTTTGTGGATAACGCCATAAAAAGTCGAAATACTCGGCGATTTCTGAATGGGCCATGGAGAACAAGCCTTTCATCACATGTAAGTTTATCTAATGTAAAATATTCTGCAACAGGGCAAATATCCACGTAACTGTTAGCTTGTGAACTTATGGCAAATTTCCGAGGCGGGGAGGGGGGCGATACCGTACGCGTGATCCGAATAAATTTTAAAATCCTCGGATCTGATGTTTTGTTGACTTCAGTGGCCCAAAGATAATAATGCGAAGACACTTATAAGTTACCGAAGATGTAACATTCTAGCTTTACTTTCGTTCGAAAGGGTTAAAGAACTGCCATCGTCTTCTTGAACCCCAGTCTGTACAGCTGTGTGCAGACGACATTTTGAAGATGTAAAAGATGTGACTGTGTTTTCATAGTGTTTTAATTCTATCATTCAAAGGAAATACGATTGTGGACGACATTTATTAGTAACTAAGAGTGAAACCATAGGATTCAGACATTGAAACTAAAACTAAGATTATTATACACAATCTTGTACTAAATTATTGTTTTTAACACAAAAAATCCCAAAAATAACCACACCCCTTTTCTCATCTGCCCTGTTCTTGTAAGTTGTGTGTGCCCTGATATGTTCTTGTCCTGTTTCCCGCAGGTGAGGGAGACCAGAACCTTTTCTCCTCGATCCACGGCGACCTGGTACAGCGTCTGCCGCTGGAGCCGGTGGAATGGCGGCGCTCGTACGGCCGCCCGCCGCGCATGGTCCAGGTCGAGGCCAACTTCGTCCCCTTCACGGACGAGATGCTGCCCAAGGAGGGGGACATGTCGTTACTACGGCAACCGTTCTTCCACATGTTCTGGACGGACTGTCCCGTGAGTTTCCTCTACCTTACATTGTTTGTTGAATAATGATAGTGTTGACTTGTTTGAAAACATTGAGATCAAGGATGTTGTTTTTGATTTAACATCTAATATCTCGCTAGACATGTTCTCTTGGTGCTGGTTTGCACTTGGTTCAGTTTATAGTCAAATTGTCTCTCTAGGTATTTAACTCTTGGTGCCTTTAGGACATTTTGTTTTACAATGCAGCCATATCATCTGCATGGAGCAGATCATTTTAGGCTGTAATTTGGAGCCCATATATTATGTTGTGTATGTATGTCATTCTACGGCTTGTTTACACCCTGTGAAACTGCAGAATCTATCTTACCTTAGTTCTAGGTACCCTTTACCTCATTCTAATTGTCCCTTTTATTTCCCACCAGGATGTAGATGTCTACAAAATCCAGACAAAAGACGAGATCACCCTCTGGCTGCAGAAGCTGCGCATCTACAACATCCAGGACTGGATGATCGTTCTGGTCGCCAATAGCGATGCCAAGAAGAACAAACTGTTGCCACGGACAACCGTGATCGACAAGATCAAGAGCGACTTTTGTAGCAAGCAGGCTGACAGGTTGTTGTTGTTTTCTTGTTGTTTCACTGAAATACATAACCTGTGTTTGAGAGTTTCGTTTAATTCGAATCATTAAATGTATTGTGCCATGGTTAGAAACTGTGTCATATGATTACTGGTAATACAGGTACATTATTTTTGATATTTAAGGAACATAATGGATGACACAGGCAGCTGGAAATATATTTCTAGTGTGATTTGTTGAAATATGTTGAAGAATGTTAGATATCCAGGTAATGACATATACAAGAATTGTTTATGTTTATTTTCATGTTCATAAAACTTGTCCTCTATTTATTTCATGTCTTTCAGATGCCTGGTTATCTATGATCCACTGATAGATTCTCCCAAGTCGCTGGAGTCGTGGGTTGCCCTGGTTCAGCGGCTGAAGCAGCTCCTGCTCGTGTCGTTTAACCGGAACCTTGGGCAGTTCGAGGACAACATGCGCGCCCAGCGGGAACGCCGCACAGAGGTGGACTGGAACTTCTGTAGATACTTCCTTGTACAGGTGAGCCATGTCTTACTGCAGGTGTGATATCTACAGCACAGGTGTGGAACTTCTGTAGATATTTCCTTGTACAGGTGAGATATGTCTTACTCTTAGTACAGGTGTGATGAACTATCTACAGTACAGGTGTGTAGCATTTGTGTTTGAGATGTTTTAGCATTGCCTCTCCTTTAATTTTTTCTACAGGAGGAGCTAGCATTTGTGTTTGAGATGTTTAGCATTGCCTCTCCTTTAATTTTCTTCTGCAGGAGGAGCTAGCATTTGTGTTTGAGATGTTGAAGCAGTATGAAGACGCGCTGGTCCAGTATGATGAGCTGGATGCTCTCTTCACCCAGTTTGTACTCAACATCCAGGCTGGAGGTTTGGCCGTTATCTTATTCATTCAAGCATAGAAATCCTTCACTTTTACAGACTAACAACAACATAGTACAACAAGAAGAAACAGTTAGCTGCTACAACACAGCCTGACTAAGTCATGTTTCTAACAGACCGTCCACTTGTCAGGCCCGTAGAAAGGAAGGAGGCCTAATTAGCCCCTGACAGCGAGAGAGTGTGTAACACAGACTGCTACTACACTTGTAAAAATCCATGCAAAACATATACCCAGTAGTATTAAAAATTAGGACATCTTCAAACGAAGAAGTCAATCTGTGAAACAACAATTCAAATGGGTGTAGCCTTAAAGACTTAGGGCTTAAAGAGTCTGCAAGTCTGTTTTTTATTGAACGGAGACCTTTATTGTACATTTTTGCCCCACTGGGCTAAGCACAGGCCACATGTTAACAAAGTACATAATGAATGTAAATCTAAATGTCAAGGGCACACGTTAAGTACTTTCAACCTCCTCTTGCTTCTTAGTACTCACATAAATGTAGTTGGCTGTATGATACAGACATCCCCTCTGGCCCACAGATATCCCGGAGTGGCTGGGCAGCTTCAGTCGTCCCTGTACCTGCTGGGACGGGCTGTATCTATGGCAACCGGTGAACTACGACAAGCGAGACCTGATCCAGGAGAACACAGCCACCCTGCTGGACCTGAGGAACTACCTGTTCTCCCGGCAGTGTGCCCTGCTGTTCTTCCTGCAGCGCCCGTGGGAGGTCGCGCAGAGGACGCTGCCGTTTGTACACAACGTCATCAGGGAGCTGGAGATACTGGAGGTGAGGATGGGAGGGAGGGAAGGGATGGATGGATGGATGGATGGATGGATGGATGGATGGATGGATGGATGGATGGATGGATGGATGGATGGATGGATGGATGGATGGATGGATGGATGGATGGATGGATGGATGGATGAAGTAAAACTACCTGTTTTTATGCCATAGACCATTGGCTTTCTTCCTACATCAGCTATGTCAAGACTTTTTACTTAAATTTTTGGATTAATGAATCAGTGCATGTTGTTTTTTTCTGCCTTAAGCGGCATACTGGGAATATATGAGTTGCATTCAATATGTACTTAGACATATAAGACATGGTTTAGCAGTGTTGTCATTTGTTGTTTTTCCCAGTTGACCCTCCCCTCGGGTGCTGTTGCATGCTGGGCCTTCATGAGCTGTTTAGAGGTTCTACAGATGATCGAGCGCTGCAGCGACTCCTCACAGGTGGAGGCGTACTCCCCGTACACCGCCAGTATCTGGGCATACGCACGCGAGAAGGTATGTATACTGTACCTGTATCTGTGTATGGTCAATCTTTACACTTGCACATCTTCTTTTCTGCTTTCAATTTGGGGCAGCCTCCTTTAGCTAGCTGAAGATTCCGCTGCCACATGTCCACATTGTTTCATGTCTGCAATGAGGAGGCAGGAATTTTGTGTCACTTTTTAAGCTATGTGTGTTAGTAGATCTGGAATGTACTGAGTATATGTATACAAATGTGTATATTCTTGCACCAATTTATCATTTGTACTCAGGAATGGTTTCTAACCGCTATGAGATAAGGAAGTTCACTTCATTGCCATCATTTTTATTTGTATTTATCTCAATATCTGTGTCTGTTTGTTTCCCAGTTACATGAGTTAGGAGTGATGTGTGGACTGATGCCTGACATGACCCCCTCGTCTGAGCAACTGCACATGGTGGTGGATCTACTAGCCGGCATGGGGCAGAAACCTGAGAAAGGTCAGCTCAAGGCTCAGTCTTCTCCTGTTGTTGTTGCTAATCTGTGATTGAAGTTGACACATAAAGGGGTTACCCAGGTATCCTAGCTGATTCGTAGCCTTATAACACACTGAACAAACTGTATTGGACCAAGGTGTTGCTACCCCTTTGATTTTGATTGATGATGTCGGTAATGTTTTTGTAATATGGAAATGAAAGGAAGTTGATTATTGTGCTTTCTATCCCTAAGAGCTAAGAATACTACTGTACTGGGCTTGTTTATTTGTAAGTAATCTGTTTGAAGTATATTTTCAGTGAATTTCACAGAATCTGTAGGAAGCTTGTTATCAAAGACAGCCTTAGAAGACATTTGTACAGTCTGAATGCTGTCTTATTAGACCCCTTAAGACTTTGTCCTAGCCTTGTATTCATCACTATGTATATGTTTCATTCAGCAGAGAGTATTCCCAACAGTCCAGACAAGAAGCTGCGGGAAGCGTTGTCGTCCAAAGCAGCCTTCCAGAAGCACTACCTGGAGCTGTCAGAGCTGGCCATGGGGACGTACAAACACATCGGCAGGATCAGATCTGCACGCAGGATCGGCAAGGATCTGGCAGCCTTCTACATGTGAGTACAACAGTACTGGATCTCCTTAGATTCTACATGCTGTATAAGTAAAACTGGATCACAGTTAGCTTGTGAGTAAAACTGGGCCTCATTAGATTCTACATTTGGGTAGATCAGAACTGATTCTACATGTGAGTAAAACTGGATCTCCTCAGATTCTAAAAGTAACACTGGATCACAGCTCATGTTAGTAAAACTAGATTATCTCAGATTCTACAGTTAAAACTGTATCACATCTCATGTAAGTAAAACTGGATCTCCTCAGATTCTATAATGAAAAATTGGATGAAGCAAGTTTCAGAGGTCCGATAAAAAATTTTTTGGCATTGCTAGCAGTTGACCAAAAAAGGATAGCTTTGGTTGGGAAACTGGAAACACAGACTTTGTCCTTTGCAGAACCATGCATTTATTCCTTTGTTGTTTTTCCCCAGGATGCTTGGTGATGCCCGTAAGGCTGAGTCCTTCCTGTCAGATGCCCTGAAGATGTACCAGCGGGAAGGGTGGGGTCTGCTAGCAGCCAACACCTGTAAGGACCTGGCCTTCTGTCAGAAGGAACTCAACAACATGCAGAAGTATCCTTTTGTCAGTCAAGTTGGCAAGGATGGGCACTGAAGGCAGCTTCTTTCTTTTTGTCATTTCTTTAACTCTCTTTTTTTTTATCATTTATTTATTCACACAGTTTCTCATCTGTAGATTCCAAATCTAATGTGATAGGGAAATAGGGGAAAAAAACTAGACATACTCTTTCCTCTGTGTCAAATGCCAACCAGATAGAGTGGTATGTACCATTTTTAAGTCTTTGGTATGACTTCTGGGAATCGAACCCTGGACTCCTGGTTCCATGGCAAACACGCCTAGGCCAACACTTTGTTAGACCCTAACCCCACACAGATATGCGGAGTCCTGCTCCCTGCTGGCGTCCAATGATCTCCTCAGCCCTGCAGACAGGACACACTTCTACAACGAACTGGTGTCCGTCTGCTCCAAGTCATCAGCAGATGGTAAGAACAAAATTATCTGAAACTCTTTTAAAAAGTGTCTGCATCTCTGCACTGTTAGCCTCAGTACCTAGTAGTTAGTACCTACAGGGCTCAAAATGTTACCTGCATATGCAGTTAAGTGAGATAAAATTGGAGCTGTGCAGGTATTTTTTATGTCTACCTGCTGGTACTGGTCCATGGGGGTCCATACTGGGTATATATACAAAAAATGTAGGACTGGTGTATGTGAATTTCATTAACTGTTTTGACTGTCACCACTTATTCTAAGGAAAGGTGCAGGTGAAGTTTGTCTAGTGCAGGTAATTTTCACTGTTGTCTGTGCAGGTATGCAGAAAAAAAGATTTTGATCCCTGATCTGAAGAAATGAAAAAATAAAACCTTGATACAAGTCAAGTTAGAGTCATCTCAAAGCCATAAAATGACACCAAAGTGTCGTCCTATTTGAAAGTACCATGTTTGGGCACTGATAATGTTCTGGTGTTTGGTTCCATAATAGATACATAAATGTGATTTTTTTTTCTGTCAGATTCCTCCATCCTGCTCCACATGGAGCCCATGATGACCATCACAGACGTGTGCATAAACAGTGAGAAGAGACGTCCCATCCTGGGCAGCACTGTACACATCACCCTCCACATGCAGAGGTATGCTTGGCATGTAGTATACTACTCACGGCACTGTTTCAACTTTATAATACTAGCATCACATTGGTCTGTTTGGACAGCCATATCAAGCAGAAAGCTCAAATCCCTTGGAAAGACCAATAAAGGCCCAGAACTGTCTTCATATCTTAGTTACTCTAACTTATTCATCTAGACCCTGGACATGTTGAAGATGTGTTCTATCCATATAATGTGTGCATGTGTGAGATACATATCATGCTCTTTCAAAAGAAAACTTAAGACGCTTCACTGCACATCCAGTAAGAAGATCAAATGATGGGACTGTTTGGTGTCCAACGTGGTAATAGGAAAATGTATTGAAATTTAAGTACATGTATTTCCGATCTTAATGACCAATGCTAATTCTAGAAATATTTTTTCTTCAGCTCCTTCTCAGAAGACATGGTGTTTGACAAGGTGACCCTGGTTCTCCAGCGGGACGTGCGAGAGCCGTCTGTCGCATCGCAGAGCGAGGAGAAGCCGGGGGAACACGGCGCCGACAGGCTGCTGTCGGAACCGCCGCGGTTTCACAAGCGGAGTGTGAGCGCCGGCTGTATGTCCAGTCTGAGGGGGTGGAACGGACAGACCGCTTCTAACCAGGTGTGGGACATTGGATCCTCAGTTAAAGCAATGACAATTGTTGAATTTACATACAACCTTTGGATGACATGAAAGTTCATCTGGACATTGGATTCTAAATTGTAACAAAACATGTATTTTCTGGTAGACTTAAATGACACAACCTAAAAACAGTATGAGTTAAATTTACAATATCTTACTAAAGAGGAAGCCGCTTAGTTGCACCACGTATTTGTCAGCGCTTTTGGTGCGACAAGCCGGAGGTGCGACAAGCCGGAGGTCAGCCCGGCTGGGGCCTGGAGGACTGCACCACCGCGGACGGGGGTTGAGAAGTGGGGTCGGAAGTCAGAACCATGAATTTGACAAACACAGACACAAAAAAACACCAACAAACTATGAGATTTAATACATATATTAACTTTATTCACACATTTTGCACATGTACAAACAAGTTTAATAATTTCCAGTGTACCGGCTCGCTATCCATTATAAATTGTATCTCAAAGACTACGAACAAAACATCGAAGAAGTCGCAGTTTTAAGTCTTACATTGTTACAGGTCACAAGCGTAAACTGTTGTTTAAAAGTGGCTAAATGTGCGTATAGAATATGAAGAACGGCGTCCCAAGAACAAAGACATAACATAAGCAGAGATCTTTTTGCTCTATCGGACATGTTACACTTGCAAGTTTTACAAAGCATACACCGATTTTTTGTTACAAGTTACAGGCAATAATTGATTCAACAAAGGCTATTTTGATCGCACACGCTAAAACGAAAATCTATACACAAACAAAGTCTCCCACAACAGGCACAAACATGTTCATCTATGTCGAATAAAATGACATCGGTGTCACAATTTGGGCTTAAAATGACGGTTAGAATGTCAGCAGTGAACTTATCACCTTCTTATGTACAACTTGAGTCCAGAAACTGTACACTAAAAGTGTAAATCCCTTGGACATCTTTCGCCGTAACATCAAAACATAGAATCAAAATGGCGCCGCTAGCGTGGTTCAAACGTTGTGATCACGTCAGCATCCCGTCAGCCAATGCGGCAAATCTTGTGGCGCGAGATTTGACTGCGTTTTTTTTATTCAAAACGCGATTTTTCTTTTTACGTAACAGGGAAAATTGTAGCGTTAACAACATCTAGCGTTATCTATAGAACACTTCGTCGTGTGTGCCGCGCAGGAAGACTTAAAAAATTCAAGAAAACTGAGACAGTGGGCAGGTAGAGAGAGACCTATTTTTATTGAAAATTAAACCGTTCTCCAACTCAAGAAAATTGACTCACAGAAGTGTTAGATCTGCAATGACAGCTTGGATATGAGAATCACTCACCGTTTTCTGTCCCAGATCCCCAGCTACCTGAACGTGCAGGCGGAGTGCCAGGTGAAGCCGGACGGCAGTCTGAACTGGTCGGGGATCAACTGCCCCAGCGCCAGCCAGTTCCTACGGCGACAGGACTCCTCCCACTCGCTGGTCAAAGGTCAGGAGGTGGTGAGAGAGGAGGGGGACCTGAACCTGGAGATCGCGAACATTCAGCTGAAACCTGGGGACAACAAAGTCTGCTTCTCCACCACAGTAAGTGTTGTATTTTTTTTACGGCTCTCTGTGGTAAATGTGCAGATGTAGTCACATTGGCGCACCAAATCCGTAGTGTGTTTTTGCCACACATTTAGACAGATAAGCCAAAGAGGCCCGATGGGCATCACTCCACCGTACAGGGAGGGAAGTCGTGTAAAGTGCCTTTCCCAAGGGCTACAACATCAGGGCAAAGTGAGTATCAAACTCGGGACCTATTTGTTCCAAGTCCAACGATCTAACCATTGCACCACCATGAGTTTGAATACCAATTAAAAACAGTCAAACCTGTACTTGTCCTGGGACTCAGCTCAGAGTTCATGTTATAGTTGTGTAACATGTTTGTTTGTCCAAGTTGATGAGAGCCGAGGGTTGTTCACAGTGCGACAGATTGTCCTGAGACTCAGTTTCTATAGTATTGTCTAACATGTTTGTTTGCTTGCTTGATTGTTTGTTTGCTTGTTTGTCCAGGTTGCTAGCCGAGGCCTGTTCACAGTGCGACAGATTGTCCTTAGACTCAGCTCGGCTGAGTTCATGTTACATAGTATAGTCTAACATGTTTGTTTGTTTGTTTGTTTGTCCAGGTTGCTAGCCGAGGCCTGTTCACAGTACGACAGCTTGTTCTGAGACTCAGTTCAGCAGAGTTTGTCTCCTCCAGAATCTGGCCTCCAGCCTCATATGAAGTTGCCAGTCAGAACCCCACAGTAACACTGTCACCTCTACAGGGTAAGTACTGCACTGATTTTTGTTTCTTGGCTTTACGTTTTTGTTATATTATCTGTAATACTTTCCAAATCTTTAACCTTAAGCATGCTGAAGTAACGTGTAATAATTCTTACTGAGATATCTTGAGCCACCTGTAGCAGTGTAAGGGTTAATGTTGATGACTGTTGCTACTTTGACAGATCTCCTGGCAGGAATCCCTCAGCAGATACAAGTCACAGTGTGTACAGGTGACCATGTTCTACCCCAGGATACAACAATAGTGTTCTCCACAACCCCCCAACTCACCCTCAAGCCACCCCAGGACAGACATGCACAGGTCACCAAACAGGACACAGGTGAGGTCAGGGTTCAAAGTTACAACACAAGGCCTTTGTGAGGTCAGAGTTCAGAGTAGAAGGTCATAAAACCAGGATGCAGCTGAGGTCAGAGTTCATATTAACTAAGTCAGCAAACAGGATGCAAGTGTTGTCATGGTTCAGAGTAAGGTCGCCAAAACAGGACATCTAAAAGATTAGATATAAAGTTAGAAATGTACATTACACCATAACAGAAAAATGTAGAGAAAACTATCAGTACATGTACATGTATAGAAGTGTAATTAATTTAATGTACATGTACATGAAAATCCATAACATTATGTTGAGATGAAGAGAAATGCCTCATGATGCCCATAAGATGTGTTTTTTTGTGTATCTTATTACCTGGGTATCTAACCTTCACTGACTTGGAAAATGACTTAGTAGTTTTCAGATCTAGAGTGACCAGTGTTAACTCCGTGCCTCCCCCAGCTGATTCTGAACCCCCCGCTGATCTAGAGTACCAGACATCTGAAGAGGGAGGTGTCCTGACACTGAAGCTGCCGGCAGTGGAGGCGTACCATCGAGTCCAGCTGACTGTCTGGGCTACAGCTGACATCCCAGACCAGGGCAGGGCAGGACAGGAGGGAGACAGCACCAGTGTGGAACACAGGGTCAGCTGTTGTTTATCGTTCTAGCTGTTACTAGGTGGGGTAACTAGCCTGGGCTCCAATGCAAGGAGCTGAGATGCAAGGGTCTATAGTGGCACTCGGATAACCTCAATACGATAATTATCACAGATTTGGCCAAGCTGTAGGGTTGGGAACCACTCACACCAGGAAGGACCCCTTCTCTAAGTGTGATGGGCCCTTTAATGTGTTTGGGGTGTCAATGTCCTTAAGAACGGGAGGAATTTTTCATTCGTTTCATCTGCTTACCGTGGATTCTTTCTCTGACATGTCTGCTTCAGTGTCATACATGTACATATGCATTGTGTTTCTGTGTGTTTCCTTCGGAAGTCCACTAATGATGGAAGGACTGATGTTTATCTTCCTCCATCTCCTCTGATACAGTTACACTCTGCTATCTTAACTAGCTAGCTGTATCATCATGATTCTGTTTCTTCAGGTTTCCTTCAAAAGTCCGCTGGTGAAGGATGAACCTGAGACAACGTTGGTTTTCCACTATCCATTCCTGGCCACAAACCAGCTGCACACGGCAGGGGACAGGTAAAGTCTCCTTAAACTTTTTTATTATTCTTCAAGAACATGCAATCATTTCTAGTACAGACGTAATCTGAATGTTTTCAACTGATGGGAAATTTTGTATTTCCTGGCATGGTGGATATGTGTGTCATGAATAGTACCTGAATGCAAGCTACTAAATTACATTTCTTATTACACTTTACTGCTAATTACAAATATTTATGATCCCAAAAGGTTGAAACAGGTTTCACTCTAAGACCATCAACTATGCATTTTTCAAAGGAAATGCACTTCATACTGTTTTCTATTGTATTTGTTGATGAAGAAGTCTTAGTAACACATTCAGAATCTCACTAATCAGAATCTTCGACATATTTTTCCTCTACAGTAAGTTTGTACATGTGGAGGTTGTTGGCCTGAGCACTGCCAAGTTTGACCTACAGGACCCTGACCTTGCCATCAGTGACCTGCAGGACAGTGACACGGCTGTGAGTCTAACTCCACTCCATCAGAACAGCCCAATGGTAAGTTATTTAGGTGTACCTACTCTTATAGTGTGGTGGGTTCTTTAACATGCTTGAGGTGTTGCTCTTCTCAAACATGAGAAAGCTATGTAGGTACTCATTTTCACCTGAGTCGAGTCAGGAAATAGGATAAAGTGACTTTACCAAGGGCACAAAATTTGGGACCCGCTAGTGGATTCGAACCCACAACCTTTCGATCCTATATGTCAACATCATTAACCACAAGCTTAAGGCTGCCATGTTAGCCTTGTGTTGGAGCAGAAATGTGAATTTCTACATGTTCCCTCCCTGCCCCAGGTTGTGTACAGAGACCAGACCGTGTCGTACCTGTGGCAGCTGCACCCAGAGGAGCTGCAGGGACTGCCGCAGCTCAGCTGCAGATTCTCCATGCAGTACTGTCTGCAGGGCTCGCAGCAGCACACTCACTACAGCTACAGCTTCACTCTTAACAACTTCAAGGTAGGGAACAACATCACAACACACTCCCTACAACTACAGCTTCACTTTCAACAACTTCAATGTAAGGAACAATTTCACTCAAACAGCTTGAAGGTACGGAACAACATAACAACACACTCCCTATATATACAACTACAGCTTCACTCTCAACAACTTCAAAGTAAGTAACAGTACAACAACTCACTACACATTCCCTACAAGTACAGCTTTACTCTCAACAACTTCAAGGTAAGGAACAACATCAACATCACAACACAAACATCACAACACACTCCCTACAACTACATTGTACAGCTTACCTCTGAATAACTTCAAGGTAAGAAACAATTTAACCAATTGAAATAACAGCATCAGTACAGTTTCAAGGTAAGGAACAACATTCTTCATTCTGGAGTATTGTGTCATCAATATAATATCTTTTTTGTATTCATTAATGTTTTTTTCTTTGTTTGTTGCTACAGACCCTGTACCAGGTAGAGACATCAGTGGAGACCCCTACAGGCAGTGAGAAGTGTCAGGCAGGAGTTCTGTGTCCTCTGAGACTCCTCATCACCACCACATCACCTGCTGGGGACAGACAGGACACAGACACTGTACCACTCATGTATGAGGGTGAGTGCTGCCATCCAGCTCACTCAATCACTATCCGGTTTAGCGTCTGTTGTTCCCTGACTTCCATGTAGCTACAAAATTGTCATATTACAGATGAAGTGTCATTTGGTTTGTTGTATCTTCCCAATGTGTACCCACCATTCAAAAAATAACTTCATTCTCAAAGTTGGACAATGATTCATTGCAGTTATCATATCCTCAAAAAAGTCATTTCAGAGAAACTTGCGTAGCTATTAGCATGCCTCAACTCTTTGTAGAGGGGAATGGAGAGCAAAAGTGGGCTGTTTTGCTATGAGATTCAGTCATAGACAGAGATACCAATTTCTAATGTCTCACCAGATCCAAAGTAACCAGTGTTATGTCACGCCCATATTTCAGTGCTGGCAGACAACACCATGTGGGCTGTGTGTGGCAAGAGTTCAGGGGTCGTCTCCATGCCAACCGCTGCCATGACAACCAAGGAAGTGCTGCTGGAGGTGATGCCTCTGATTGGTGGATACCTGCCCGTGCCTGTTGTCCAACTGTCTCAGTATCAGGAGCTACCCTCCCCTGATCACAAAGAACTCTCCCCCGACTGTGTCAAACCCTCCCCTGGCAACGATGAACCCTCCCCAGATGAGCTAGTCCCCAGTCATCCCGGGCAGGTGTACTTCAAACATGGACAGGTGTACAGCTGTAGCCAGGCGCGGCAGGTGCATGTCCTACCTGCCAACAACGGGGGCAACCTGGTCATCACCTTCCAATAACATGGTTATTACCTTCCAATACCTTGGTTATTACCTTGCAGTAACCTGTTTATTGACTATCTGGTTATTACCTTCCAGTAACTTGGCCATTGACTTTCAATAACTTGGTTATTGACTTTCAATAACCTGGTTATTGACTTTTCATAACCAAGCCATTATCCTCCAATAACCTGGTTATTGACTTTCAACAACCTGTCCATTTCCTTTCAATGACCTTTCAATAACCTGGTTATTGACTTTTCATAACCAAGCCATTATCCCCCAATAACCTGGTTATTGACTTTCAACAACCTGTCCATTTCCTTTCAATGAACTTTTGCCAAAATGTCATCTCCCTCCAGTGAACTTAAATCTACATGTTATTATGTAACTTCCAATGAATTGAGGGTAATCACCTTCAGATAAACTTGAAGCTGTAGGTCAGGTAGCTACAAGTTAAGTTGTGGTGTAAATACTGGTAAGATGGTGCAATATATGTAAACTGCCATGATGTTAGAACAAAGAGAAATGTATGTACCACAGTCAACAGTGTTGCTGAAAGATATAGTAAAATATTTAATTTAATGGTTACAAAGTCAATCAGGTAGATATTACTTTCTTGCAAGCTGTATTAAAAGAGACTTGGTGAAAAGTTATTGGTTGTTTGTGGCTCCAGTGTGCATGGAGCTATATTCTGAGGGTTGTAAGAAAAAATTAAGTGTTATGCAGAAACAATAAAGGGAACAAAAGAACTATTGTATATTGAACATTTGTCCTCTTCATAATCAGGAGACACAATGTTTATTCTGAATTTCTTCTTCCTTTGGCATGTCAGTCAAAATACAATGTATATAAAGTCTCCAGTGTGCATGGAGCTATATTCTGAGGGTTGTAAGAAAAATTAAGAAACAATAAAGGGAACAAAAGAACTATTGTATATTGAACATTTGTCCTCTTCATAATCAAGAGACACAATGTTTATTCTGAATTTCTTCTTCCTTTGACATGTCAGTCAAAATACAATGTACATGTACTCTTCTTTATCAATGAAATTCATCTGAAGTAAGAATGAAGTTTTTGGTTGTTCAATAGCTGCTCAACTTAAATTTTCCTTATTTTGTTGCCATTTTCTGTGTGAACTGAAGAGAAATGTGCCACGTGCGTTTCTTGTTTATGCAAACTGTTTACATAAGGAACTTATAAGGAGCTTAGCTGCCTGGGAAAAGATTAAGAATGCTCGGCTCTATGATTAAAGAGCAGAACGTAATAATTGGATTTTTACTGGGGCTCGTGTGTGGTGATGACTGTACCTGTAGAGTATAGGGGTCTGTTGGGGGTTTGCTGCATGTCCATGAGCTTCTATTTTACAATACGTGGGACATCGATAGGCATACGTCACTGTTTTTCAAGGGAAAATATCAGCTTTTTCAGTTTCATATATATCAGTTTCTATATTCTAGTATAAGTTTCAGAGTAGCTTAAACATGTTCAAAAGTTAAATTGAGCCAAAAACGTTCAAACAAGGCCTATTCAGCAAATAACTTTTAAGGTCGAGATTTTGGAAACTTGAGACGTAAAGGTTTGAACTCATAGTGGCTGGAACTATATTTTCCTGGTTCGTTTTTGTTGTACTTTTTTTTGGACAAGTCAATTGTAATTTATATCAACATCAAAGTGCACGAACATCGTTTTCCTGTTGTCTTTATCCATCTGTATAAGAGTCGTATGTTGTCAAAACCCCCATACAGACCTTTGACATGGTTGGATCGCCCGCCTCCCTCCCCCGGCGATTACAACAGGTTAATAGGTCTGCGGCTGACATATTACAATCTGCCAGCTGGGTGCGGATCGCGTTACGGAACAGAGAAGCTTATCTCCAAGCAGATGTATCGAGCGGGCTACCTGTTTTCTGACTCTTTTGTAGTACGTTTCTTCCGTCTTTTTTCTGTGAACCAATCGCACTTTGCTGGAGAAAATCTTTTAGGAACCAGTTAAACATCGTTTTGCCAATATTTTTACCGTGCGGGATTAAGACAGGAAGCTAACGTTAACAGAAAATAGCGCCACTATAGCGAGACATAGAAATGTAGATGCAGTTAAGGCAAGAAAAGACACACAAAACAAAGGTACTTAAGAGCGAACTATCCGAATTGCTGGATCATTAAATCTCCAGGAAAATAAGCTTCCGGCTCAGTAGTATACGCGTGTTTGTGCGACATGTAGTACACTTTTCTAGCAGTGAACATTTTCTACTCCTTTTTCAGTCGATGGGAGTTTAATTGGTGCTATACTAAAAGACCTACTAGATCAACGACAAAAACAAGCAGGCGGAAAACCAAGACTACATCTGCTTGGAGATTATGAACCACAAACCCTGGGTGTTCTGTAAGCTCCCCCAACCCTGTCATTATCGTACATGTAAGTGGATTAGTGCGGAATTAATCACTACCTGAATGTGTATCACAGGGACAGGGTTCGAATCCTGCCCACCCATTGGAGGTATAATCCTCGATGGACCCTAATCTCCAAGCAGATGTTGGGGGGGGGGGATCGTGTGAAAAGTTGTCTGATCGGACATTGGGTTAGAAAACTGTCAGAGAAAAAGGCCCGTCAGAAAACTTAGAGGATTTTCACTGAAACATCTACTCGGAGATTGCTGATACACTCTCATGGGTTGCTTGTAAGGCGAGACACACCTTAGTGTGTTTAAGAACCCATCACATTTTTTCAAGAGTGAATAACAAATGTGGATTCAGTATTTAAGAATTTCACAGATATTCGACCTAAATTACTGACTTTATTTCATTTTTCACCGTTTTTTCCTACACCGCCCGCGTTTCCCTTCACGTCACTGCAAGCCCAGACGTAATTAAACATTTTTTTTCAGAACTGCAATTTCGTAAGGGTTGTTCCATTCTAAAACGTCGGGGAGGACGAGGCAGAAAACTATTTTAAAATTAAGAGTGAGGGTCGGTAATGGTTTAATACACATGTGAATGGTAATTAAAAGGAGAGGGAACAGGATTAAGACTTGTTTTTGACCACCCCTCCCGAGATTATGGAATGGACGAGCCCTATACGGAAAGGCAATCAGACTGCAGATTGAATATCAAACAGCTCGGCCGGTCCGCGATGATTAAAATATAGTCCCGACCTCACAGAAACCTTGCTGCACAACTTCTGCCATTGTACACGTGAGAAACACCATTTTATGCCAGTTCGCTGTACTTGGAAGAAACCTGGGACTAAATTGCGCAGTTAGAATATATAATTCTCTTTTTTTCATCGCGACCAAAGTGCAGCATGTCTTGCCCGACCACCCAGTATTCTAATGACGCTTTGGTGGCTCTGAAAGCCATCGGCAACTGCGGCGGCGACACCGTCCCCCTGCCTCTGTTACCCCCCTCCACGTCTACGGGAGTGTTTACCACTGTAGGGGGGATGGAGAGCACGTACGTACCCCCCACGCTCGTCTCCTTCTCGGCAGAGGGGGTCCGTACCTGTCTGTCCCCCACCGCCTTCTCACCTGTGTCCTCCATCATGAACCTGAGTACGGCGGGCGGGTACCCGTCCTTCGCGCCCACCCCGACTCCTCTCCCGCCCATCTCCCTGGGTCTGGACCTGGTCCTGAAGAAGCCGCTCAACGCCAGCAGTACCTACGGGGCCGACTCCACCGCCTCCTTCTTCTCCGCGCCCGTCATCACGTCCGAGCCGGATCGGCACGACACCGGTGAGTGCGGCGATTGTGATTACTATACATTCAGTCTTGCAGCACGACTTATTTTTGGTCCCAAACCATTACTATACATAACAGAACCTTTCCCTAACCATGCTTCTCTTACCGGGACCGTAATACATAAAGATAAAACTTCCCCGTGTTTACATTTTCAGTTTAACGGAGTGTGAAAGGGTGTAGGGTGGGCGAGTTACTTCTCGGCCCAACTTTCGTTTGTTTCTTGCGGGAGTGAATTCTTTGCCACAGACAAATTTCCATTGTCATAACGACAGCGCTACCCGGTTAGAATTGCCGGCGGTGTTGTCAGAAATACTGAATATTGGTTGAATCATTTTCAGAAACAATCGTTGTATACTTCAAAGCAAAATAAAGTCAAAGACGATGGTTTAAAATTTTGTACTACTAGTATTTTTCTGTCGACTGATTTGTAAAGATAAAAATGCCTCTGGACCATTGAAATATCGTGTCGAACCTTAATACATGTACCTTATTCAAAATATATCTAATCATATTTTACAAAAAGGTTTGTCTAGATATTAATAACGCAAAACGTCACCGTACATTTGGAACAATAATAAAAAAATTAAGCAGAAAAATAGTCTACATCTATAAGCTTAGAATGTTAGCTTTGTAATAAAACCCACGTAAGAACGATTTTTAATAGTGAATGTTCGTAAAAAAAAAAAGAAGCCTATTGTCTGTACGGGTTTAATAAAGAATATTATACACTATTACACAGTATGTAAAACAATCATGTTTGGTTTTATTTTGAGAAACACTAAAACGGTTTGCCATGTTTTATATGTTATTCGTGTCCTCGCTATTATTTTGACGACCGTAAAGCAGTGCTGAATACTTGTTGTTCTACATCGATTTTAGTTAACTTCTTACGCTGTTAAGTGTGTTCCTTATACTTAAGAAAGGGCATTGATAGCATCAATACTACAAAGTTTCCTGAAACAATATTGACTTGCAGTCTTTCCCAGCCCAATGAGTTCCTTTTGGGTTCATTTTGTTCATTTGAGGATGTATGATGCATATACGGTAAATTGCATGTTCTATAACGTGTATATACTCCATATAGCAGTAAAACAACGGGAGATAGAAACATGTTCAAATTTTCGCCTTTTCAAACTCATATTATTTTATATATTGCAACATTGCCAACTAGATTGATTCACGGCTTCAAATGCAAATTGGGCGTGGTTGTAAAAAATACATGTTTCATCTGGTCGCCATGGAAACCACATTTTACGTCATCGGCACTTTTCGATCAACACAGCGTCTTGCACCTGAAACGTTAGAGAGCAGCGACATCTAGTGTTGGAAGATATCATAACACCACAGTGCTACAGAAATGGTGCAGTACTGATGAACAAATTTCATCAGAGATCCATCCAAGAAAGTATGCAGAGTCTTTGATGATTTCTCCACAGCTAAACTTTACTGATACGTACGAGATACAGTGAAGATAATAATAATGCAAGGCCTGCCAGTCTTTATCCACGTACTTCACTCAACCGAGACCGGGGGCGATATAGACTTCATTTGACGCATAATGTCCGTAGTATACAGTGATGGGTCATTTGTCCTGGTGAAGCAACTGGGCAAAATACTGTGAATTAACATTATCATTCTGTTGGTACACAGTTATATTTGGGACAAGTATGGCAGATGTATACAATATTGGATCATTATGTGATATTATGGCTCCAAAAACTGAAAATATTAGAACAAAACCATAATGTGAATGATATTCAACAATCATATTCTAGCATATGCATGATTGTGCGTATTTTTCTGGTGCTTGTGAAATATACAACACAAGCTGCACATGAGCTCAGTGGATAAACTCCATGTTCCAGGTCCCCACCTGTACCCTGGCACGGACGTGTCCCCCCTCTCCCTATCGCTGGTGCACAAGCCCCCTCCGGACGGGGACGGAGGCCCCCTCGGCGTGGGCCACCCCCTGTCGCTGACCTGCAAATCCGCCAACGCCCCGCCCGAGCCCAACACCCCCGAGCTGAGGGAACTAGAGGAGTTCGCCAACGACTTCAAGCTGCGCAGGATTAAGGTAACTCGTGTGATAGGTGCTTTCCAAACTAAGTAGATCGAGAAAGACGGGAAGCACATGTACTAGTAAAGGAAGAAACTAAGGAATACTTGAAATAGCTTCTTGCAGACATAAGGCTGAAACTTGTGGTTCCCATGTACTGGTAACTCTTATGATAGGTGCTCTCCAAACTGAGTAGATCGAGAAAGACAGAAAGCACATGTACTAGTAAATGAAGAGACTATGGAATAATTGAAATATAGCTTCTTGCAGACATAAGGCTAGAAACTTGTGGTTCCCATGTACTGGTAACTCTTATGATAGGTGCTTTCCAAACTATAAGTAGATCGAGAAAGACAGAAAGTACATGTACTAGTAAATGAAGAAACTATGGAATACTTGAAATAGCTTCTTGCAGACGTAAGGCTGAAACTTGTGGTTCCCATGTATTAGTAGTTTCTGTCCCATGCATGTAGTTAGTTAGTTTTTCAAGAGCAGCAGCAAGAGAGATGATGTGAAATACCTAACGTTAATCACAATCGCCGTGTAAAGTTGTCATTCCAACTTAGCATGCCATGCAGTTTAGAGCGATTAACAATACAACCCGAAGTTAAGTTAACGTCCTCTCATGTTGGTCCTTTTATCTTAAGACATAAACAACAGTACTCTTAAGGCGACGGTCAACAGATCAGATAGAGACAGCAAGAAGGTGCTTGGTTACAGTTACAGTGTCACCAGTTTCGTACATAAGTGCTCCTGGATTCTGATCTCGTTGTATCTGTCCCCCAGCTGGGTTACACACAGACGAACGTGGGTTCTGCGCTGGCGTCGGTGCACGGTACCGACTTCTCCCAGACAACCATCTGCCGCTTCGAGAACCTCCAACTCAGGTGAGCCTCGCTTCATTTTCTGTTTCTTGTTTGTTTGTTTTTTCGCCTGCTTTCCGTAGATATAAGAACCCAGGTAATATGAAGCCGATCTTGTGGATCTAGGAGACCGAGAACAGAGGCGTCGGACGGTCATTTTAGTCGCTATATCTCTCTTATCGCTCCCATAACTATACAAAAAAACGGATACGCCGCTGACCATATTTTCTGTTCTATTTTCAGTTACAAAAACGCCTGTAAGTTGAAGCCGATCCTGCAGAAGTGGATTGAAGAGGCAGAGAACAGCGGCGGCCCGGGCGGGGACAAGCTCCCGGGGAACGAGAGGAAGCGCAAACGTCGGACGACGATCGGGCTGTCTGCCAAGGAGGCGCTGGAACGCCACTTCCTCAAGCAGGCCAAGCCGTCCTCTCAGGTCGGTCCTTTTGTCTTAAGACAACAATCGACCGAGCCCATAGCCCACCTCACCGGTCTAGCCCATGTCGAGCACCCGTCTAAAATACAGGGATGCCCGATGACATTGCTAGTACCATACTGGCAGCGCAATGATAAGAGGCGAAAGAGAGACTACTGGTATTGGTTAAACTGCTGATTTCAATAGAAAGCTAGCACTGTGCATGCGATTCAGTAGTGTTTCAGAAAAGGCTGCTCGCTAAATTGCAGTCTTAAGGCGACGGTCATGGACAGCAAGGACGCCCATGGTTACAGTTATCGCATATCTTATAATGTCATCAGTTTTCTTTTTCTATTCCAACATTTATTACAAGACATGGTGGCGGCACACTCAAATTTTCCTAACTCATTTTTATGCCACCACCACGCATGAACGGGCAACAGACATACTCATTTTATCCTGAGTTAAGGGAGGAAATTCGTGTAAAGTGCCTTTCCTATAAGGGCACAAGATCAGTGGCATGGCAGGACCTCTTGGCTCCGAGCCGAACGTAACAGTTTCACGGCAATTTCACGTGGTTCTGAGATGCTTGAATCTATTAAATCACATTGATCTGATCCGTTTCTCGCCTGTTCCGTCCATGCAGGACATCGTGCGCGTGGCGGACTCCCTGCGGCTGGACAAGGAGGTGGTCCGAGTCTGGTTCTGCAACCGGCGGCAGCGGGAAAAGCGCGTCAAGACATCCCTGCACAGCAGCGCCCTCTACCTGCATGGTGAAGAACTGAAGGACTGATACAATGTACTAGTATGCCAGTATATTAATTAGTCTCCACCAGACTCCTTTGTATGTCGAATGAATAGTAGAAATTGGTCTGAAAGAGGGTTTTAATTGACCAGAGAAGTTGGCCGACCAAAGAGAGTCCAAGTTGTCTGTGCCCTTTTAGGCCGATTTTTACTACATGTATTTATTCAGCCTGCAAAGAAGACTATCATATTGTACATGCAGTAAATGTAACAACAAGCCTTGTGGAACGATCTCGGAAGTGTTTTCATCACCAAAGTGCCTTGTATGATGTAGTAACTTATTGTAAGGACTAGAGAATGAATAATTCTGATTTTTACAAAGTGCCTTTTGGGACCCTGTGCTGACTGGTCACATGTTATGCTGGGTACATCATGATGATTATTGTTCATTGTTCGTGTCATTTCGTTATTTATTGTCAATGATTCATTATAATTAAATTTCATTTCAATCCAATCAATTTAGTTTTTTGCTTGGTGTTTATCGTTATTGTAAATATCCTCTAATTGCAGAGCAAAGACGTCTGAAGGCGATACCACGAGATATGAAAATAACTTCCGATGTATGCAGTACCATAACAAGCCGCCAGGGGGAAGAAAATATCTAAATCATTCCGATGTTTCATCACGCACACACGCGCGCGCACACACGCACACACACACACACACACGTACACACACACGTACACACACACATACACACACACTGACGCCAGTGCTACAGAAAACATAACCTTCTTGTCAGGTAAAAACTGAAACGCCACTCAGTAAGCCTGCTATGGAGGCTAGGCCCACCGTCCCACGAGTACAATGATGACGTGTTCCTTGCTTCAAGGGTGTCAAGGGCTCAAGTACTGTTATCTTGACTTTGTCCTTTTTTGTCGCGAGGGGGGCAAATAACAAACTTCTGAGTGGCTAATCCTAACAGCCAATTAACGGAACCCAGAAGCGGTGTGTATACGTAAGGAATTCCTTACTATCCACAAACCCCTGCCTCCATTGGGGACTGAAAGAACACAGTAGAAATTGTTCCGTATTTGGGAGCATGATTTGCCTGGGGACTTGGCTACTCCTCCGGCAAATTAATCACCATATTTGGGCCAAAATCAAATACTAGTACAGTATATTATTCATCCTAAAATAGTTAGAAGTCGGGAGGAGACTAGACAAGATCCAGGACGGATGTTGTGGCCGTTAGTCAGAGCATGGAGGTAGAAATCTGATCTTTTAGCTCCATGGTCAGAGGAAACAGTCATGCGACAAGATGTTCACTGGAATGTCGACGTCACCCGGGATCGCCGCATTATGAAACACAAATGTCTCATGAGAATTTTGAGAAAAAAAAAGAAATTTGAAAAGAAGACTGAAGTGTTTTCTTTTGCCACTTTCTAAATAGCCCGTTTTTTCTTCATATATTTCATCATTCCTTTTCTCTACATAATAACTGCCTTGGCTTTTCGATAGGCTCCTGGGAACAATACAGTACAAATGTACGTCCCAACAGTGGCGCTATATTGTGAGTCTATTGTGGGACTGATATAGATACATAAAATGCATCAAATCCAAGCCGAATGACGTCAGGCCCTTTCCTGCCTGCACACCTGAGCGGGCCGGAAGTTGCGTCACCGGATGACATCACGTCCTTACCTGTGCGCACACCTGAGCCGACCGGAAGTTGCGTGTGCAGAAAGTCTCGTACTCCGCGGCCACTTCCTCTCCGGGACCGAGCAGACCTCCGGTTGGTGCGACTCTCGTGCAGCGATCGTCCGATTTTCCTCGCGTTTTCACGTAAGTACGCCGCGTAGAACGCTGCAGACCCGTCTAGTCTTGAGATAATATGGTTTACAGTTGATTTTGGGGTAAAATTTCTGGTTAGAAAGCGAGTGGAAGTTTGTGTCTCGTTTGGTGGTTCTGGCGGCACACCCCTCCCCCTGCCAAAGTTCGGCGTGTTGCCTGGAGGGCGCTAGTTCTTTACAGGCCGCCCAGAATCCGGCAAAACCGGCTTTAAATCCGACACTGTCGGCGAGAGGTGAAATTTTGTCGGTTTGGTGGAGGTTTTTGGTGATTTTGTGATCACTGAGTCGTTTTTTCAGCCGCACCGTGACCCCACCCTAAGCACGCGGGCTTCCAGGTCAGATATCAGTGGAACGCAGAGAAAACAGGTACTTCAACCTCAAATATGCCCCGTTTCACTCCCCCTCCCGTCTGTACCCTTTCAATAGTTTAAATCCGCCGTAAAACACATTCAATAAGCTTCATGAACGTAATTTTGATTCATTTTTTGCTCAGTTCGGGCGCTATGCGGAGGGTTTGGGGTTGAAAGGTGGGGAGGGGGGCACTGCGAAGGAGAACAGGAAGAACAAGCAAATTATGCAGAACCAGTGAGACGGCTCCGGACCGGAAACAAGTGGAATTCAGACATTTTTCCTACAGAAAGGTGGACTTCAGAAGAAGCTGTGTACAAAATATTAGATCAATAAGGCCATAGTTACATGTTGAAGTCACCTAGATAAGATACATCGATTTGGGTATGAACGTAATTTTGGGCAGGAAGTGGGAAGTGGAGAAATCTTGCACGTAAATATTTTATCAATTCTTATTAAGTTATGCTCCAAACTACTAGGATGGGAAAGAGGAACAAGGAAAAACTTAGATTTATTCCTGAAAATGTCCCAGAAACTGCTAAATTTTAACCAGACTTGAGTAATTCAGCTACATACATTAAACAGGAAGTGGTGTAAATTTGGCAGTAATTGTGACAAATCATCTGTAATTTTTAACCTGATCTGTTCCCCTATTCCACCTTGTTTGAACAGTGTGTTTTACGTTCCTCTCTGCACGCAGAACTTGCCATATTTTGGTCGCTGTCTCGGTTCAAGCCCTGGGAACACGTTCTTCATTTTGTGGATGACATCATCACAAATATTGATTTTAACCCCTTTCAAGCGGGAAACATGTCGCTCTTTTTTTAGACTGTGAGCCTTTCACAAAGCTGCTAGAAACTGGCAAATGTCATAAATTTGTCATGAAACATTTACCAGTAGGACAACAGAATATCCTGTCCGAGTTTGATTGTTTCTTTTCAATGTAAATTATCAGATTTGGCATCTCCAGAGGATCAGATGTCATCAGCGAAATCAAATTTGCATGGAAATTTTTGTATGCAGATTGTTAATGTAAGATTTCGCTTTAGAGGTCATGATTTGTTTTGCATCTGTCCAATGTACATTTTCTCCAATTATGTGTAATGTACAAAAATATATTCATACATAATAAATACTACATTCAATACTTGAAGTTGACCCTGACGTCAAAGCCCCAGTTGCATACCAGCTGTGTGTTTGCCTAGTTTAGGGCATGTACAGTTCAGTTGCTGTCATATTTTATGGAGAAATTATGTGTACTTGACGCAGCGTTCAGCGGTCTTGTGGCTGTCAAACCAACCTCAGGTCAGGGGTTCGAATCCCTGCATGTCATTAGTTTTCTGAACCATGATTTGTTGTAGCTAGAAGGGGTTGAAGTCCTTCAGAAGCTTCGAGACATAAAAAAACTGTTTGTGTTGTTTTTTCTAAGAAAGCCTTGATGCCTGAAGCATGTTATAACAGTACATCACAATAACGCCGCACTACCTCGCAAATTGCAGTGTTTCTTCTTGGAAACATGAAGGGAATAAATAACCATCATATCAAAAAGTTCTAGGAAACACTCAAGGAACAAACTTTCCCTGCAAATCAGTTTTTTAGAGACGTGCCTGTGATGTTAGGAGACATGAATGCAGACTGAGCTTTTCTTGTAAGGAAACAAGGGTCCCATTCATTCAGGTGTTGGTAGCCATGATGGTGTGTCAGCTGAAACCAGAGACAGGTCCCCAGGACACACACCCTTCTATTTTACACAGGTATTTTTCACCACCAAAAAAAAACATGATAAAGTATTTCTAGGGAAAACGTTAGATGCTAACTGTTCATTTGTTTCAATCTTTTCTACATAAACTGTTCAAATATTGACATTAAGGGCAGTTTCTTTACATGAAACCAATTGTTTTATTGTAATTGTTTGTACGCACATTCCTGAGGTATATAAATCAGAATATTGTCAAATAGAACCGTTTATGACTGTTATGTCTATGCCGTTTAAAATGAACTGGCCCGCGAGTAAAAACATTTGAAACACTTTGATTTCAGTTGAATACAGGGATGTCATAAACTGAATGTTTGTACAATAGACAAATTAGATAGTGAGTGGGCGTGCATGAGCTATTAAAAGATATCAGATCCTGTTTTCACACCGACACACATGAACGCTACCGAAAACATAACCTGGCAAAGGTGGAAAAATATGAGCAACCACCCCACCCCCCACAGGTTGGTAAAGTATAGGACACAGGAGTTTTCTTACACAACCAAGATTGTTTACCTTGCTTACGCTTTGAACTTCAGGTTTGATGTCCATCAGACACCTTCCTTAGAGTTTCTGACTGGAGTTCTGGTTCTCGGCGCTATATGTAGCCGATGTGAGTGGAGCTTTTGCGGCAAAAACACAATCCCAAACATGTCTGAGTTTGAGTATTAATCTGTTTTCTCCAGGTTGTTAGCAGATTCCAGTAACCAACATGAGCTGGCAGACGTACGTAGACACTAACTTGGTAGGGACTGGCAATGTCAGCAAGGCGGCCATCATCGCTACTGGAAACGGGGCACTCTGGGCCAAAAGTGGTGATTTCAACGTAAGTTTTTTTTCTTTTTTTCATTATCATCTACAGACAAGTGTTAAAAATTATCTCAAATCTTGTATTTATTTTAGCAAATTTAGAGTACAGACTGTGTGTTCATTTTGTGCGTGTGCATGTGTGCGTGTTACAAAGTTGAAAAAGTTATTGGCCTCACCCAAAAAATGCCATAGCAGAAAGATTTTCCTTACAAGTAACACTGTTTTTATATTTCAGTCCATACCATGGTATGGATGAAATATATTGTGTTCCCTCATGTTTCTTCTTCTCCTCCTTCTCCTCCTTCTCCTCCTGCCACACAGTCAAAGGGATTCAACTGTCATTTTTAGTCAAATGACCTGAAATTTGGCAAGGCCAATCCCCCTAGGCGTTTTTTTCATTTTTTTGATACATGCCTTTGAAAAATTTTTATGAAGGTTTTTTGGGGCATTTTTCGACAAAAAATGGATTTTTGGATCCTGTGCGCTGGTTTTACAACCAAATGATCTGAAATTCGGTATAAGGGTACCTTGAACATGTGTCTACAGAATAGCAGTCACATGTTTGGCATACACCACTTCCAAATGACTCATTTGGGGGACTTTAATGGCTAGTTGCAGCAAAAAAAGTGCCAAAAGTGCTATACCCGTTCCATGTTCTATCTAAAGAATGGCCTGTTCCATCCATGGAACACGTGTTCCATTGCAGGTTACCTGAGGTCACATTGCACCTAAGTGGTGCGTAATGACCCACACATTCAATTTTATGTGCCTAAGACCTTCAAAATGTATCAAATCTCATCATTGTTAGTTTTTGCATACCTGTAATAAGATTACCGGTAGTAAAGCTTTCGAGATTCAAAGTACTTGTTGTTGCATCTTTGTTCTCATATAGCTACTATTTAATTCATTTATTTGAGAACCTTTGCCAGTTTTGCACTGGGGTAAGTTTGGAATAGTCCACTTTTGCGTGGGAGGGAGATGGACTGAAATATGCTGTATTTGCTCCCAAGCAAATGTCGGCCTTTCTAGTTCAATATAGTATTCAGTTCAGTTTCAGTTTATTGAGATACCCTTTAGCCCATTATGGGCTATTCTTCCAGGGTTCCAATACATGTAACACCACGTAGTCCCCACTAACTTCAATGCGATGTTCATTCAATGCACTTGGTCCAGCTTTGCTTTCCCCTTTTGGAAGAAAGTTGCATCTGGGGCCCTTAAATAGGCCTGAACTTGATCAATGAGGCCATCCTAAGTTACCATCAGAATGTTGACCCACGTAAGTGGGACTTCAGTTTAGGAAACAGGTAAAAGTCTGACGGTGCTAGGTGTGTTGGGACGGACGCATCAGTTTCCTAGCACATACATGTAGATTATGTGATTGATAAATACCTACTATTGACATGTTCTTTCTAATATTTCCCCATCTGCAGTTATCTGAAGAAGAAGCCGGCAATATTGCGAAAAACATCAGTAATCCGAGCTCTTTTCAGGCAGGTAAAGACAGCTGTCCTGTTATTTGGGTTACGTATATTATTATAATGTTTACCAGGGCTCAAAATACTGGGTGCATGTGCACCCTAGTGCACCCAAAGTTGGAGCTGTGCACCCAATTTTTTTCTGTGGGTGCACTGGTGCACCCAAATGTTTTTGTATGTAAAGATGTTGAATGTATAATTGTTACAGCATATTCTTAACATCTAGGTGTCAGAAAAAATAATACAATCATTGTTATAGTACTTTTCTTGAAATGAAACATAATTATAGTTTTTGCTGACATTCTACTTATTTAATCTTATATGGTGCACCTAAAACATTTTTTGTGCACCCAATTTTTTAGGTTGGGTGTACCAGTGCACCTACTCCCAAAAATGAATTTCAAGCCCGACATTTACACACTGGTCCTATCAGTTCTGAATGCTAGTTCCTCTGATCATCAGGGACTCATTCACAGCCCTGAAAAGTCTGACTCTTCCTAGTAGTTATTTTGTTTGATGTATCACCTGTTCCATTTTTCCATTCACGCTGTCCAGATTTAAGACTAACTTGGGATGATTGATTGATTGATTGATTGATTGATTGATTGATTGATTGATTGATTGATTGATTTTTTATTGTATTTTCAGCTGGTGCGAAGGTAGAAAAAGAAAAATATATCTTTTTGAGGGCAAAAGAAGATGATGGACCCGTCGTCTACATGAAAAAGGGGGAATCCGGGATGTGCATCGTAAAATGTACACAATGTAAGTACATGATGGAATCTTTTACTTTCGTGAACAAATCTTGTTTCTTTCTTTACAGTAGCCTGAAATCCAGCTGTGTAAGCTATACCTCCAGCCATGTGGAAGTAAGACCCCGTTCATACCAGACTTTCAAACATAGATATCAGGAGTTTGGTCTCATCTGCCGACCAGGTTGCATATGCTGATTCCATCGCAAAATTAAGAAAAATCATGGAAAAAACTGGAAACGAACTCAAAACAATGCAATCAAAAAGCTTGGAGGTCCCACACAGCCCGGATGCTGACCCCCTGAACCTGGAATTATGACGTAAAAATGATTCAGTTGAATAAACCCTTAGCATTCAGACTAGGTTTTTCGGCAAAAAAAAACTAAAAAACCGTTACCAAACCACCTTGCAGATGTGAACCCCTAAAAAAAGTAAAAAAAAAAGTTTGATTTGCACTCACACTAGGCTAAATAAACCGCATAATTGAAATATATTGAAACCGCTAAATAAAAGTCTGGTATGAACGGGGTCTAAAAGGAGTGGGTATAGCGTTCACAGCTAGATTTCAACTTTCTGTAGGCTACATTTACAAAGAAGGAATGAAAGATCAACATGAAAAACAAAGTCTGAGGGGAAGTCTGTTTCAAGTTTCTCCTACAGGTCCATTTCATCATAGTGTTAAAAGAGGTCATCTATACTATTACCTGTCCTGTGTTTTCTGTCCTACTGCTCCTATATATGTCTCACCCAGGGCTCGAAATACCAGCTGCATGTGCAGTTGCACCTAACCTGCATTCATACATGTACTGGGTGTATAAATACTTGTAGGTGTATGTGGATTTTCATTGCCTGTATATTGACTGCCATCACCTATGAAATATAAAACTAAACGAAATAATTGAATGGTTTCTGAACAGCTTTTCATGTAACCCATACATGTGTACTTCCAAATTTTAAGTGTTGAATCCCACTAGGAGCCGACAGGACCTGTACCTGCAACTTCATCTAAGCACCACAGCCAGACTAGGAGACTGACATCAGGCATTACTTCTGTTCTAGCTCCATAAAGAAGTTTTGTTTCCATTGTTCTTTTTTGAAGTTGTTCAACTCACCTATATGTTGCAGATTTTACACTCATTTACATTTTCAAAGAAGTTGTCATAACAATGCAGGGCTTCATGGATAAATTGTAATAACTAGTCTCATCAGTTTGTTGTAGCTATGCATCTAGTGTGGCAGCTGTGTACCCTATGTGACGAAACATTTTTTCTTCCTGTTTTCAACTAGTTCAACTCCATTTGTTGCAAATTATATTTGTCCTGTTTGGGTATTACTGTGTACAAGGCTGTCTCCAGTTTAGTTTAGGTTGAAGTTTAGATGCATAGAATTAGGATGAGTTCTACTTTGTCTTTACTCACCAGCACAAAAGTTCTAAGAACTCTTTTGACATGACTTTCTTTTTCACCTCAGTTCAGCATTGCTGTTGGTTTCATCACAGACTACTGTTTAAGTGTTTCATTAAGAATTAATGACCCGTCCTGAGGTGTATATTGTGTCATAAGGCCTGGCCATTTCCTATAACCACCAAATAAATTTATGAAGAAAACTGCAAGGGCACACGACACCACATACACCGAGGATCAGACAAGCTGTTGACGTTATTGTCATATAGGTTATCCAATTTTCGTTGTTAATGAGATCTGCAACCTTTCTTCTTGTACCAAATTCCCAAACTATGTTTCAGAATCTATCCAGATGCGTGAGCAACTGTTTTCTTGCACTCTTGTATTGAATTTGTTCTTTGTTACACTAGTCTGACTTCTTTATTGTTGAGCATGTTTGATAGTTGTTGATGTCTGATTGAAAAGTGACCTGGTTATATATTGTTTTCTGTTCTCCCCACAGGTATCCTGGTCGGTCTGTACAACCCCCCAATCCAACCAGGTAACTGCAACAATGTTGTTGAAAAGCTGGGAGAGTACCTGAGGAACTCTGGCTACTGAGGTGGCAGCCATCTGGGCAGCAAACCTGGATGTCTCTAACAGTGCACAGAATCCAGCAGCAACAATATCCAGAGGAGACGACTAGGATTTAAAGTTCCCATTCTTGAGAATAACTCTCTAACATTATGACGTCATGGATGGCAAAAAAATAGGACGTGTACAAACATCCCATTCCTTTCCGGTGCAGTTAAGTTCTGAAGTCGTAGATACTTGAAGCAACAACTTTTGCCCTGTTTCTGATTGTCAATTGGTGGTGGACGTGAAGCAATATGTTTCATTTGTGATATCCGTTGCCCTCCAGCGCCACTGCTGTGCACGTTCCTTTCCCATCCATGACTTCACAATGTTAAGGCGTTGTTGAAACCTATATCTGCAATCCAACATCTTGTTGAGAAAAAAATGCATTCAAACTGCTTTCAGTTAAACTCCATGCAAACGACATTTTGCAAGTTACTGCTAGTTTATTTGTTTTTGTGTGTTAAAGAAGGAAAAGTCTTACTGCTAACAGATTTCATGTAAACAAACCAGCTCCAATTTGCCAAACAAGGTTAGCTAGCAAGATAATGTCAAGTTTTCTATACTGTCCATAGGTATGCTAAGTTGTCCTGGGTCATGCTAAATTGTCCTGCAGGCATACTTGGTTATCCATGGAGAAGCTAGATTGGCCATTATCATGCTAGATTGTCCATAGTCAAGCTAGGTTGTCCATGATCATGCTAGGTTGTCCATGGAGGAGCTAGATTGCCCATGGTCAAACTAAATTGTCCATGGCCAAGCTAGATTATGGTCAGGCTAGATTATGTCTGGTTATGCTAGTTTGACATGGTCAATGCTAGATTGCAAACAGATGGGCTAGATTGTCCATTGTGAAGCAAGCTCATGGTTCATGGTCAGACTAAAATGGCCATTATTAATAAAAGAATGTTAGTGTACTGTTTTGATATAATCCAAAAGGAGAAAGTGTAGTAGCACCCGGACATCTATTGTCTGTGGCATATGTTATCAGCAATAGCCCATCACATATACCATAGCTGTTGATTTAGGCAATGTACTTCGACCCATAGTTTTGAGAGATTTCCCTCGAGATTGGGGGGAGGTGATTATACATATATTATGCAAGTTGAAACTTACTTAATGTCATTATAGGGGGTATGCATAAAATTAATCGGCGATAGTGATATAGATATGAAAGAATTTATTTTGGGCAGTGCTTTTGCTTTTTTTTTCATGTTGCAGTTTGCTTATTTCTACCTGGTTGCTTGTTGACTTTCTGTTCAATATCTGTTGTTTGTTCTCTTCTGGACCCTACACACCATTGGCATTACCTCTTACTTTTTGGTGATGAAGTTTCTCAACTTTCCTCATTACTTCTCCAACCTTCAAGGTGAAATCTTTCCTTAGTGTGTTAAGAAAACATGATTCTTATAAATTAAGGGGATGACACATTAAAAACCCACACAGTAGACCTCTAAATTCCATTCCAACAGTTTTCTTATGGCCATAGTTCTTTTTTTCTTAAAGTTTGACCCTTTATGTTTTCCCAAGATCCTGGTGCCAGGTCATTAAGAGGTCAAAAGTCATTTATAATTTGGGACCATTAATTTTGATTAGGCAATAAAGGTCTGGTGTGTGTTGGGAACAAAGTAAAGCTTTCTCTTGTATGTTGATTGAAGATCTGATCCTTAGTGACCTTGACATATAGTAATGACCTTGAAATTAACATTATGGATGGGTAGGGGAGAAATGTGCTGTTTCCTCACATTGCCTGTCTCTTAAATGGCTCCTCCATGCTTGGTTAGCTTGAAATGAAATGACACTTAAGCCTTTGCCATGTAAGCCCTTGTAACGTTTCGTTCCGTAAAAAAGCCAAGAAAGTTTCACAACTTGCAGATCGCTGCCTCCTACATTCCTGTTAATTGTATTGTTTCGCTCATTCCACTTTTGTGAAGATCACATTCCATGTTACATTACATTACAATGCTGGTTAACTGTGACTTGCGTAGTGTGTAACACGCAGCTCATTAATTGTGAGTCCTGGCATACGCATGAATCCTGTACAACTGATTAATTGTGAGTCACCGAGTGTATCACATGTACTTCAGACAATTCCACCTCAAGGCTTGTAACATCTCTACTGGAATAGCTCAACAGTGCGAAAAATGTTGTAACTTTCATTACATTTTGTTACCTCTTCTCATGCCCCTCTGTCTAGTAAAGCACTGTGGTTGTGGTCTGGTAGCCAGCCCTGGACCTAGCCATGTTAATACTATCCTGTGTTAACACTATCCTGGTTTACATACCTTAGCCAAGTTGATTATGTAGGTATGTTTTTTGCACCACTACAGCCTTGAACAGCAAACCTAATCAAGCATACCTAATCACGGACCAAATTGTTAATTTTGCACGAAATCTGCTATTATATCTTGCACAGCTCCAAGCGACTGAAAGGTTTCCTTGTGGATTTTTTTAGTCTGATAATTTTTGAAGACTTGTTGTGTTGCACTGTGAGGAGGCCATAGGACGAAATGCCCCTAAAGTGTTCTTTGATTGACATGGATAGATGCTTGTAAACACAAGGTGCAACTCTTCAAATCTTGTAAGACCTGGTCAAGGCTTGCATTCTCATCTTTAAAATCTGATAGTAAACTTCATCCACTAAATGCAGTCCCCATTCTTACTATCTCTGTTTTGTCCGCTGGCCTTCCCATGAGTCATTGCAACACGCCAAGGCATGTTTCATGGACAGAAAAGCATATAATGAGCTTCCAAATTTGAATGATTTTCCAAACGTTGCGCTGTGAGCTTTACTAGATTCTAGAGAGCTTGGCTCTTTTGCTCATTTTGTAGCCAGTGGTGAATAGTTTGCTGGGAAAAGAGAAAACATGACCCAAAAGACAACATGGCATTTGTAGTCATCTGCAGTATTTGAGATGATGATGCGAAATTGGTTATTTCTATGAAATCAGCCACCATTAGTTCACGTAATATTGATCTTTCACCAGAATTAGACAGTCGAACAAATCATTGTCGATTGAAAAAGGCCAGTGAATTTAATGCGAGTTTACCACATAGTTTAACCAATATCTATGACTACATGTACTGCTCGTAATTTTTTTTTACCGACTGCGTGATGGCATCTTACGCTGAGCAGTTGTAATGAAGTGCTTGAGCTGTGGACGAGCTGAATCTGCTCTGCATGGTGTCTACATATCTGTGCCTTACAGACTTCTGTCAAGCCAGGGAATGGATTTCTGAAATAAAGGTGACTGACCAATACTGACCACTGTCCTGACAATCTTCTCTGACTTACTATGTACTTCTGTTCAACTTGGGGACAGACAGGTAGCAAGGTCAGGGATGGGAATGACTAGCCTCTACCAGGCTTCAGAGGAAGCAGGATGGAGTAGAAATTGGACAAAAAGATAGATGCCAGGAGAGTTGGCATCTTCCTCGCTATACTCCTGAGCATAGTACCTATTACGCCAATTTCTACTCTTTCCAACCACTTCTGAAGCCTGATGGAGCCTAGGGAATGATAACTAATTTGCAATTTTTAATCAAGTACTTGCCCAAATCATTTTCACCTTAAATGTATTTGTGGGAGGATCTAGTTTACTGACATTTTCATCATGATACAGTACTACCTTCTCTGTCCCTTAGGCCATATGAATGTGATCCCTTGTTAACTCACTTATTAGCCTTCTTACCAGAATCAATGACAATAATGAAAATCTATATACATTAATGTATTTTGCATAAGTCGACAACTCTGCTAGGTCAAAGGAACAATCAGTTCTGATGTGCCTCATGATAATACTTACACAATGGGGACAAAGTTCTAAAATTACTGTAACAATACTAACCCCTATGGCCAAAAATACATTTGATCAATAAATTTTCTACTTTTTTATTCGATAATTCAATAAAGGACGGTCGCGAGCAACTGTTTATCTTAGAATAGCGTTAGATATCTTTCTGTCTGGAAAGTTTCACCACACAGAAAGGTCACACCATTTGACGCCCTGCAATCAAGCCTAGTCAGTGCAGTTATAACTTCTCCCGCTAGATGTCTCTTGTCTTTCTATGACTGCCAAGTAAGTGGCTTCACAAGCCGGATGATTCTTGCAAAATAATCCAGAATCGTTCCAGCGATTTGTCACTTGATATTGTTCGTTGTGCTTAACCTTGGAAAAGACACAAGAGTCCGTTTCAGCGAGCGATCCGCTCCAGCGCTGTCCTGAGTAATGTTTGCTCTCTCAATTGCAAAGGAGAGTGATGAAAATGTCTGTGGACATGTATGGTGTCATTTGCACAGGCCCCTCTACTGCTATTTCATTGGTCCCAGAACTTGCCAAGATTTCAACACCAAGGAGTCTCCTGTCTGTTCGTGCATACAATAACATTGGGCCGCACTGACAATCACTTAACCGAACAACAAAGCACGAGAAAGACGTTTAGACGCATTGTCATCGGACGACCATTTCTACACTATGCCTTTACAGTTGTGGCGTTATAATGTTTGTTTGTACTATAGATGTCGTGACTTCAGCAATTCGCACGTACGTCTAGCCATGCGATTTAGTTAATCCGTCAACCCATGGCCAGGTTGCCTTGTAATTCATCATAAAGTACCTGTCGTATTGATGCTCACTAGAGCATGGCGTGTCTCCAGCTTAAACTGCTGGTATCGCCAGCAATGGTCGACAGGTTGTTGCCTGCCCTTAGGTTATTCATGGCCACGAAAGCATGGTGGCTCCGTGGAGACGTGGACACATTAGAGAGAGCCACACCTGGCGTTTTCTTTCACCGTTAAAGTAGAGTGGTGGGAGGAGAATGTGCCCTTATCTCCGGAGCCCTACCCGCCCATTGGCGTGCATACCGCAGCGTGTAAAACCGTGTAAACACCGGACACATGCAGAGGTGTAGCATGTTGGGACCTTCCCAGTCAACCTTACCGGGGTGCGAGGTTGATACTACAACAGGACAGACAGAAAGTCTCATCAACCGAAGATTTCACAAATCGTCTGGTGTGTCTTTTCATTGAAGTCATCTTTAAAGAAGAGTTTTTCCATCTCTGTGGGATTTCCTCAGCCAACCGTGCGGAATGTAATGTTCCATAGTAGATTAGTCCTCGGCACCGTACTCTTTTGCGCCGCAATCAACCATCCTTCAGTCTGAACGCTGGATCTGCACAGTGCACTATTCCCGTTTGGAACTTTTATTCAGCTTGCCACTGACTGTTGATCAAGCTCCCATCCATACCTCGTGAGATCACGTCGAAACGTCGCTACAGACGGACAGACGGAGCATCGCGACATATCTGAAGCCAGCAGGGATCTCTGAGGGTGAATCCATCTTTTCTGGACCGCTAAACAGCGACACTAGAAGACGTTTCCTTCGGCCGTGTGGTTACAGAGCAGAACGGCCTGGCCAGGTAGGTTGTTAGGGGAGATATCAGCTATTTTGTCTCCATTAGACCCTATTTAAGCTAAACAGGTGGTAGTAATCGGTCACAAGAGAGCGAATGATTTGTTAGGGGAGTTAATCCGTTAGAGAAGGCCCAATGATCACCCACCCACCCCCAGCTATCATCTTATAGTTTTAGAAAATGTAGAGATCTGTGGAAGATATTGACTCCATATTTCTAGTGTCTTTCCAAAATCAAAAGCCAAAGTGGTCGATGTTTTGTTGTGTTAGTGCCGGTATTATACATGTATATACTTGAGTATAGACCCATATCTAAGTTCTATCTCATTACTACGGCCGTGTTTACATTGTTCCATGGTTATGTACCATGTTTATCGCGTTGCTCCGTGAGGCCCTTCTCTGTGACCCTGCCCACCGTCCTGTTCAACTTGACATTTTCACAGGAAAGGCCGCACGTTCTTTTCCCCTGGGAGAGATCCGTAATAACGGGCTTCCAGTGTTGACAAAATAAAACAGGGGACAAAATAAAGGAAAGCGGGATTCCCAGGTTGGACTGGGGTATGTTGCATTCCTGTCGTATTTCTGCTTCAGGATCTTCTGATTGGACTTCTACAGAGCGTCCGGTCCCTCTTGCGTCGTAATATCACACTCAGGGAAAGTATTTACAATATAGTGTGACTGGTAGCAGCGCAGAACAAAACAATACATGTTACAGAAAATAACGATCAAGCAGCTGAATAGTAAAAACGTAAGTGTTGTGTAGATAGTGTTTAGAAACGTCTGCGTAGTTTTCTGGTAAGGTGGCCCGTATCGTCGACCACCAAAAAATGGTCACATTGGGCAGGTGGTCGTCATGTATATACGTATAAGTGTTTGTGCGTCTTGTTTTCTAGTTCTCCTTCGAACTTTCTGCTTCCTATCCTTCCCTTTTCCACTTGTTCGACCATGCATGTTCGTACCGTTTATACAGACTACGCTAGTGAAAGACCTACTACAATGGCGACTTCACCTGAGTCCACGTCAAGCCAAAAGAGGAGCATCTTGAACTTCACATCTCCGAAGCCCACCTCTTCATCGGCCGCCTCTACCCCCACCCCCCGGGAGCAGACCCCCGACAGGAGCAACTCGACCCCCCCTGTCAGCAGACTGCGGGCCGGAGCGGGGGGTTCCGCGCCCTGGCGAGGGGGATCATGAAGATGCAGTCCCTAGCCTCCGGCACGGCGGCGCTACGGCTGGCTACTAGGAGGGACTCGGTGGAATCAACCAAGTCTTCTGTCGCGAGTTCTAAAACTTCGCATCACACGTCACATCGGCATCATGGACACCATGGGCATCACGGACACCATGGACATCATCACGGACACAGGAGAGGCAAACGGCATCATTCGTCATCCGAGTAAGTCTAAGTCTGTAAGAAAGATAGAAATAAAACACAGAGATAGGGTAGCTTCTTTCTCAGGCTTGTGCGGCGGGGGCGGCGTTAAGTTTTTTTTTTGGGGGGGGGACCTAAAAGACTCTCTCTGTGGCAAACTCCCTCCCCGGCAAATCTCCCTCCGCGGCATAACTCGGGTCCGGCTCCCCGAAAAAAAATTAACTCCGCCGCCGTAAAAGTCTGCGAAGGAGGCTAAAGATAGTGGGCGATATCGGTATAGTCTAGAAAAGAATAAAGGCCGGAACCTTGCAGTCATCCTAAAGAGAGCATCATCCTCACCATTTCATCCATGGATGAGTCCTTCCCATTACTGCCCCTTTCTCATCTTTACAGTGTCCCCAGCCAACCCAAACCGCATGTTTGGTCGCATTGAATACACACTAGCTCCTTTCTCTGTACGCTCCTAACGTAACAGTTCACATCCATCCTGTCCGTGTCTTTACCGTATTGTGACCGTCATGCAACATGCCGAAGGGCGGTACTGTGCCTGTGCCAGCCCGGGTAGGTTACACCAAATATCACCGTCCTGTGTCATGGCTGTTGAAAGGCACAGGTGAAAGAGATACGCCAAAATTTCCTCGTCGTTACCAAGCGAACTCGCATGCACCGTTGGAACTAGGAACTAGTTCCCTATCACGTACAACCGTACAAACCACGACGTTTAGTCGTGCGGTCTTCATATCAGGGCTGCGGTAGGACCGACTGTGATTGGTTTGACAGAGGTGGATATGAGCGTTCTGCAGTACAGTTCACATATGACATATGTGAGTGGTACTACCTAAGGCCTTCCCAGGAGAACAGGTTGTGGCGTAGTACAGTTGCACGACGTTTATGAGACCGGCTTGAGTCGTCCGATCCCGAGCCCCAGCCATGCCGTCCCCGAGCCCGGACCCTCCCAGCCCGCGGAGAAGACTGTCGACGTCCTCGATGGGTCTGATGAAAGGCCGGCTCGCGGCGGTAGCTCGCGGGGTGATGCAGGTCCACACCATGACGAACATAGCCCGTAGCCTTGGCGGCGGTGGACCGCCTCAGCCTCGGGCCTCCAGTCGCAGGGGTTCCGTAGACTCCACCCGCTCCAGACGGTCGTCTATAGGAGGAGGCCTGGGACGGAAGGACGGGAAACGGTCTCCCAAACGGTGAGTCGCATACGACAACGAAGTTTTTTTGATAGGACATTGTTACTCTACTCACGCACCACAAATGACTTCTGGTACCACAACAAACTGAGGTGAAGCGACAACTTGTTTTGCCTCTCAGTATAGGCCTCAAAAGGAAAGTATTCATGTTTTCATAATAAGAGAGACTCATCCTACTTCAGTCACTCTCACATTCTAAATCATGTTCAAGGACGTCGAAGGGCCCAAATGGCGTGGAGCGCGAAAGAGGTGATGTTTTCATTTTTTAGTTTTACTTGGCTTGTTTGGTCGCATCAGGAAGTTACTTATCCATTTTCACAATTTTCTCTTAGTACGTAGACATGATCTGTTTATGTCTTTCTTTGAAAATGGTGTGTCTGTTGATCTTTATTTGTTAGTAGGCCTCTTTCAAACAAATGTCATCAAACTTTTAGTCTCCTAGCTGTTTCCCTTCAATCTGCAGGCTTCGCTTGGGTACGTAATTTGCACAAAAAAACGCAATCTGTTGTTTCCTCTGTTCGGTTGTTGTCTTTTTCAGTTGTTGTAAAGAGCTTAAGCTTTAGCCTGACGGTTTGTACAGTAGAAGAATTTCCCTGCTGATCTGTATACTGTACACACCGCTCCTGTGTACCGTGTGGTCAGGCATGACGGTTCAGCACCACTTCTGTCCATCGTAGCCTCGACGGCAGGCTCTTTGGTTAAAGCCTTTTAGGTTGATTACGTACGGTCTCATGGCTGCTTCCATGCATGTTACGATCTATAACACTGAGGAAGAGACTACTGTAGACACCAGGTGTCATTTGAACACGGTACGAATCATATAAAGCAGTTTGTCAGCAGTAAAAATGTCTGCAACGGAGCCTGGGGTGTAGGCTACCGCCGCTGCGTGCGGGGCGGTTCGGCGCTGCTTCCCACCACTTCAGCCGGCCAGACACGGGACATTTCCCGCCTTGTCCCCGTCAGGTGTTCTGTGACGGGAAACCTCGTTCCGTATATATTGTTTACACACCATCCAGGGATTCCAGACAGAGCGTTCCGTCAGGAACAGTCTCAGTTCAGTGCACGTGAGAACAACATAGCAACGGTGCGGTGGCCCAGGTGTATGGTGTTGGGATATATGTTTGGAAGGCAGTCCACAAGAGAAAAACATAGCAACCGTCTCCTAACTGTTTGTGTTTTGTCTTAACTCCAAGCAGACGTTGGAAGGAAGAGCCGTGCATAAGATAAAAACAGCATTATAACAGTTTTAGGTTGAGTATAGCCGTCAAACAGATATTAGGAGTGATGATCGTAACATACTGCAGCATTAGATTTTCATGTTGGCCATGGGAGGTCTTGTGAAGGAAAAAGAAAGCAAGTTACGATTTTCCTAATCTCCTTGCAGATCAAGACCACACCAACGACGTCATAATATAATTTACGAAAGAGTACAAATGACTGGAGAGTCTCCTAAAGGGTTGCTAGAGCTGGGAATGTTCCCGCTACATTTAACTTGACAGTACATGGCGTGCTTTACTGTTGTTGGGAGCAGTACGTTAAGACTTCGAACACCGCCGAAACAAAGTTCTGATAATCATCATCGATAAAAGCAACACCGCCATATTTCTACAATGGTGCACCTTGGTAGCTCTAAGAGAGAATCACATGTCTTGGCAACGTAAAATCCGTGGGTCCACAAGTATTTTGGGAGTATAATTTTAGTCTTAAGTTTTCTGCACTCCATCTACTTCAACTAAATAGTATTACCTACTTGCACGTGAGTTTAACGCAGCCTCAGTCTAGAATATCGATGAATGAAAGCAAAAGGCAAGAAGAGATGACATTGGGAGTGCACTGGTGACATGAGGCGGTATAGCGGCCCGACTTTGTTCGTGCCTCCAACATCCGAGCAGCTCCGGAACAGACGGCACACCGTCTACTGCTCGTTGTGAGTAGAACTATATTCATTGTCAAACCTGACCGTTTTTCTTAGTTTCCAACAGGTTCTCTGTCTCTCTGTCTGTCCTCCCCCCCCCCGGCACTGATTTTTAAGGGCAATTTGGAGCTGAAAATTATGAATTGCCCATAAAAGGCCGAATAACTCTAGAAGTAATCGCGATAAAATTTTCCCGTCATGCCCCACCATGATAGCGATCTTGGGTTCCAGTGAACTGAAGCCTTGTGTTATTCCACCCTCATAGATATCTAAGTAAGTAAGTCCTAAATAACAACAGAGAGTGATAGCACTGTTTGTAGATATAGGACCTACAGCAGGGTCCGGTCGGCGTTTTCCAAGTTATTGGTGTATTCTGCCTCAAACCGTCAGAAATCAGACTTGAATGTTTAACATTTGGGACATAAGTTGATATTCTGCGGGCTTGAAAAGGTCAATACAGCGGAGTCGCTTGTTTCTCTGACCGTGAACCTTCGAGATGATTGTAAAAGTCAGGACACCTGTTGATGAATGTTGACTCAGTACACTAAGTTGTTCACAGTCTTAGAGTCACATACGTATTATAGACGTCGTAAGGCATTCTTGTGATTGTCGTGGATATGAAAAATGCTGTCTTAGAGCCCTGCTGGCAATTGGTTCTGTCAGAGCCTGCTTGCAACGTCTATAGCATTAGAATATCACGACATCTACGGGACGAATGTGACCATAAGTTATATAGACTGGTTTATTTGCAGAAACACATACTTCATACATACATAGTACAGTAGGTTAGAAGCTTTTTGCAGCCAAAGGCTGAATTGAGAAGCTTTTACAAATTTTTAAAAAATTACATGACTAATACATAATATATATACATAAAAAGTGCCTTGAGAGGCATTAAACACCACTTATACGCTAGAATAATACACATTTATGCTAAAATTACATCATACAACTTCTGTTGGCAAATTACTTAGGTACAACTGACAATAATAAAAAAGTACAATTACATCATGTGCAACAACATAAAATGAAATCTACTGTATGGCAAGGTTATTCAGTATGTTCAGCATTGTGGGGACAGGACTGCATAAATATCTTTTTGTCCCAATGGGTGGTTTGTAGCGCCGTGTTTGCCTTAGCTGCATAGGTTAAGAGGTTTACTCATAGGAAATTCAAACTCGACTACTGGATCAATTACGGAGATAATTTCCGGACGTTTCGACAGACACCCACCATCATCATCGGTCGACCGTATTGGTCGGGGTTATACCGCCCCTTACGAGGTGACATACCCTTTCGTTAGCTTAATACAAGACGGGGTTCGCCACGCCTCCGTCCGGGTGATGATGTAATCACCACTCTTCTTCAGCTTCACTAATGAACTAACAGAACTCGTTAGCACTTATATAGTGTTAATATATATAGTATTAACACTATGACTACGGCACACTCCCTTTGAGTAAAGTTTACCTGGATGTCTAACATTCATCAATATGTTAGGAGATTTGTGCTTTCTGGATGTTGTATCTAGTTCACTTAGGCCCATTTCTACTATCTATTTTCCCAGAGATCAGGAATCAGATAGCGAGTAGGTTTACACAACAAGCCACGGTTTACACATCTACACATGATTCCTTTGTACTGTACAGTCTCTCGAGATAAACATCTAGTCGTCATGGCCTGTAACTATAGACATAACCTACAAGTCGTTAGCTGTACATGTCAGCCTCCCCACCACGTTAGTTTTATAATAAGATGTGCGATCTTTATTGCGTGTTTATTTCCACAAGGTTGTAGACAAGAATATCCGTCTTCAATCTACACAAATACTATAATATAGATTGACAATATAAAGCAAAATATACAAATAGGCTTAGAATTACACATTTAATCGTTCGTTAACGACTACCATT